CGAGTCAGCTAGTCTGTCAGTCAGTAAAAAGGGTAGGTTTGGTATTGTCGCCAGGAAGCATCGGGCTGGCGCGCAGAGATTCAACCGCACGTTCTCCACGCACGGGTTATGGAAGCGAGTGTCGAGGCTCTACAACGGTGGGACAAACGAGTTTTCGCTCTAGCCTGAGCTATTTAATCAGGACAAGTCTGGTCCAGTCGACAAATGATGCTCAGGAGCTATGTGTAGTTCATTGAATGCATAACCAGACTAAGTTGGCGCTCGCAGTACGTCTGTCCGCATAATTCCTATACAAACCTAGTACCTAATCGCTAAACCATCAAACCTCTCTCCACTGACAGCCTGTCTCTGATTAAGAAAGGTGGACAAGCCTGGATACAGCATGCCATGCGAGGTCTAACGAAGGCTTAGAATATTCCAACGAACATCTATCCAGCGAGCATTCCGAATGATCTGAGGAGCACGCACAGCATTATGCCACCATTGGCATGGCGAACAAAATGCCAGTTCAAGTGAGACTGGAACGATACGATTATTCCATGAGTGTTCCTTCTTCATCAGGTCGTTGAAAACGGAGTTGACGGACTTCGAAATACAGATGGACTTAATACTCGGATTGACTCAGATTATTTTACTGGGGTCGTGCATCTTTAAGCGTAACTAAGACGACCGCACTTAGAATACGGTATCCAGGCTTGTCCACCTTGTCTTGTAAGGGACAAAATGTAACTGGAGAAGGTGTTGCGAGTGGGTACAAGTTTGGTGCAGGGATTCCGGGGGCACACTTATTCCGAACGTCTGCTTAGCTTGGGTATGTACACAATGCACTACGGCAGAATTAGAGGAGACTTGATCCTCACATACCGTATCCTAACGGGTAAGATCGGTCCAGACTTATCCTGGCTATTTAGTCCCTCCAAGCTGTTTAGTCCCCGAGGTCACCCGTTGAAGCTGCACAAACTGCGTGCTGACCGGGTAAGGACGGAAACTCGCTTGTCGCAACGGGTTATTGAACGCTGGAACTCGCTTCCAAAGCACGCGGTTAGGGTGTTTACGGCTGTGGATTTTGAACGTAACTTAGATGCTCTTGGGTGACCGTACCAAACCTACCCCTTCTTCTAACCGACTTGTATCTTCAACTTTCCGTTCGTTTATTTTCAATTGCTTTGCACACCTTGATATTATTATTGGTTAGCTGACATTCCTCCTCTTGTTTTCTTAGCTTACCCCTCACTCTCTTACTTCACATAAACCGGCCTAGCAGGGGCTGTTGGGCAGGAAAATGTGGGCAGTAACTGGTTGGATCGAGTGCGATGTGCTCTTTGTTTTAGGCCTTTCAACATACCAAGCAGACCTATCAATTCCAGTTCCTACGATATGCAAAAGAAGGAACATTCACGAATCATCCCATGGTTCCGGTCCCAATTGAACTTCAACTTCAACTTGAACCACGACATCAGCAATACAAACAAAATACAATGTTGGAAGATCACCGAAGCTAACCACCTACATAGTAGAAAACTAGTAGTTCGCGAAGTTGCTAATTATCGCTTTTCCGTATACTAATTTGTGTGGTCTATATTTGCATCATAATTGTTTTAATCGGTGTCCATTCGCATTTCCCGTTCAGTTCAGCCATGGCGAGCAGGTGGAGTCGTAATGGTTAGTTCCGCTCCGTTGATGGTTTCGTTATTTGCGATTTTGTTATTACACTAATATTTACTACTCTTTCAGCTTCGTATGGTGGTGGTTACTTGAGCAGTGGAGGGGTAGGTGTAGGTTTTTACATGGGTGGTCCGCCGGCTGCTGAGCGGCGACCGTATGCCCCAGTTGCGAAGCAGTTTTATGGAGGTTACAGAGAAGACAATTATGGCCGGCGACCTGAACGCAGGGATGAGTTCCGTGGAGTCAAGCGAGGACCGCCGAAAGGTCGGAGTCCCGTTGAAAAGCGTTATCACGATGCCCCTCCCGCAGGTCAGAGGCGTGACCATCGTCCTTTTGGCAAAAGGCAAAGTCTAGGAAAATACGAAGTGAAAATGCCAAAGCTTTTGTTTAACATACAGACGCGTGGGGCGACAGAAATTCGGCAGAACTACCCACGCCTGAACGTCGCACCAGATTTTTATGAGTGCGACTCCACGTGGTGCGAATCATTCCCCATGCATAGCCCCTTCAAACTGGGCAATGCTACGGACTACCATGTAAGTTGCTCGCAATCCGGAGGTCCCATCTTTCCCTTAGGTTTTTCACCGAGACGTTGATTCTCCATCTCCGGCGGACTCATCGCTGCTAAACCCTCCAGATGCTGACTACTCCTACTCATCGCGTGTGATGCTGATGGCTTGTCCTCAGCTCGCTGAGTTGTACAGAAACACCTGCCGCATGGCGGATGACCCCATTGGGACCGATAAGGTTCCTCCCGGCAAAAACATTCACTTCCTTGTCGGTGGCCGGGCAAAAAGTGAAACCATGGCTATTGGTGGCCCCTGGTCTCCCAGCTTAGACGGCGCTGATCCGTCAGATCCTATGACCCTGATTAACACTGCCATCAGAACTTTCAAGGGCTACACGGGCCTCGATTTGTCCTCATGCACTGAATGGTACTTCTAAATTTTTCTGCTCATTCACTATTTCAGGATCCGGTTTATGGAAATCAAGTATTACCGTTTCGCTGATACTAAGGCTCCTGCCTTTACCGGTGACGAGGAGGAACGGGTAGTGACCACTGAGCGGCCAGAAGTGGTCGTGTTTTTCATTCCAAATGCCGCACATCTAATACCGACCGATGAGGAATGGGCAAAAATAAGGGAGTACTACTCCTCTATTTTGCAAGGCTTGCTGTCTCCGGAGAAGGTGGAAGCCGAGACCCTTCCTGAAGTTGCGGACACGGATGCATCCATGGCCGATGCCAGTGTCGATGAGGCTGAAGAAACCGGCACTCGATCAGACATGGAACCTACGCATTACTCCAAGTTAGATGTAAACGCCTTGAAGGTAAGCTCTTTTTTAAACTTACAAAACCGTATAGGTAAATGAATTGCGAAACGAACTTGCTGCTCGTAATCTTGACACGAAGGGCTTGAAGGTTAACCTTATTTTACGCTTGCAAGCCGCACTCGACGAAGAGAAGAAAGCGGACACCACCGGCGACGCTAAATCCGGAACAGATGCTAAATGTGAGTTTTTCTACTTCTCTTAGCTTGATGTATGCCAGTAAAGGTCAGAGAGTAACCGCATTGAACAGCTTGAATGCATAGGCTACTGTTATCATTGTGAGTCTACATTTAGGAAGGGTGTTCTAGTGAAGACGACTGCTAACGAGACGACCATATCTCACTGATGGTCGGACATCTTTCACTGGCAGTACTTTTATGTAATGGACTGCAAGCTGATTCACCTTAACGTCCTTCTTTCTGCTTATATTCAGCCGAGGAGACATCAGCTAAGCCTTCAACCCCAACGACACAGTCGAAGGACGAATCAAAGGAGCTGACTGAAAAAGAGCGCCGCCGATTGGAACGCCTTTACCGTCTGAATGAAAAACCAGTTATCATTGTCCACCCAAACAAAAGCGCCAGAGGAGGTCGCTTTGATTGCCATCGCGTATCACTCTTCTCTCTCCTTGATTATCGCACCGATGAGCAAAAAGAGCACAACTTTGAAGTCTCCTTATTTGCTGAGCAGTTCAATGAAATGCTCCAGCGTGACTGCGCCTTCGCGATCTTCAAGGCCATCAACGATGCGCCTGAGAAGGAACATAAACCTGAGCAAGACGGAAAGTACGAGGATTATTGTTGCGCTTAGATTAGTGGATAATGTGACACCCTTCCGACGTGTCGTCCGCTGACGAGTCATGCTGGACAGGGATGCTTAGGCTTTCTTATATTTTCATGAGTCTTCTTTTCAGCCGCTGTCGAATAACCTGTAAAATGCATTGCTTTCAGGGTGGAGAATGGGTTGGAAGAAGAGGAGGACAAAGAGCCAGAAGCGAAACGCCACCGAAGTGATGCCGTAGTGAAGGTCGAAAAGAATGAGACTCCTAAGCCTCGTCGCCTACGTCGGACCACTTGTCCAGATCTGCTATTTGCATTTACCTATTACGACATCGGCCAAGCTGGCTACCTTCGGGAACATGACTTATCTGAACTCCTTCATCTCTTAGGTCTCCGTTATTCCCGCGCTCAGGTAAGTTGAGGTAGTCTAACTATATCTGTTAATCAGATGAGAAAACTGGTGGCGAAAGTGGTCACGCGCCGTGACCATATACAGTATCACCATCTGACTGACAGTGACATTATTGAAGGCGATGAGAAGGACGTTATAAATATCCGCACAAACAACGACGAAGATAATGAGGTTACAAAAATGCTCGCGTTAGGGAACAGGGCATTGTTTGACACCGAACAGTCTCCCATCCCAGCCAGGTAATTCTGCTTGTGTCCCCTGATATTTGTTAGAATAATAATTGGAGGAGGCGACACGACAGATCTCACCCAGCGCCTGGAACGCGCTGAAGAAGCTAAACGTAAAATGGAGTTTCAATTTTTCCAGATTAAAGACGAACTGGGTGAGTCCTACCATTCCTTTAGATTTCATTGTTGTAGAAAAAACGCGGACGAAGTTAAATTCATTCAAAGATACGGAGGATTCGCTGAAGGCCGAGAATCAAGATCTGTCTTCTCGTCTGAAATCTGAACAGAAGCAGTTGCATGAATTGAAGTCTACATCAAATGTGTACCATCATCTACTGCGAGCTGCCAGAGACCAAATGGATAGACTTCTGTTTGACATAAATAAACAGTTCGACGAAGAGAAGGCGAAACGAGAAGCCAAGAAAGCAGCGGCCGAGGCTGAAAAGAACCAGGGAGAGGAGAACAAAGAAGCAACTGAAGCAGTAAGTTTTACCGTTTTTACGCTTATTCGTTACAGAATGGCTTAAAGCCGGACGAAAATGAGAAAGCCGAAGAAAAGGAGTGGCAAGTGGTAGATGCTGTTTGATCGCAGGAAGTAATTGCATCAATCGTCATTACTGGCCTATGTTTCGTTAAGTATAGTGTAACTGTCTAACTATGTCCTTTTATTACTGTACTCAAGGCAATTAAAGTTCATCCTTTTCATATCAACGTGTTTCTGGCATTCCTTACGCTACCAGGCGTTGTGTTTTACACTTGCGTTTCAAGACATTAATCGACTTCATCCGCGTTTAATTTCTGCTGACTTCATACCGTTCAGTGTGCGAGGCTTCCGTTTATCAGACGCATATTGGTCCGCAGTTGATTCATTGCAGCCGATAGATAGGCTTTGGATTACTGAAATTGCGCCAACGGACGACTACCTTGCGCGTCGCTTACATCTAGGCTAATTCATGTGCTACCGGAACGACGTGACTATCCCGTGAATGGAATCAGAATTAGACGAATAGTCTTGTAATGTAGATTGGCCGAAAGCAGGCAGCATTCCACTCAGCTCGATCAAGTACTGCTCACGCATTCTCACCGGCAGTTCCTGCTGTACCAATTCAGTGAGGTAAAAATGCGGAAACAATAATCAGAAGGCGAGAAGAGGAACTTAGCTAAGTAATTATGATACTAAGATACGTGAGGTATTAAAGAAAGCGAAACGAAGGCTGCAGACGAGTCAGCTAGTCTGTCAGTCAGTAAAAAGGGTAGGTTTGGTATTGTCGCCAGGAAGCATCGGGCTGGCGCGCAGAGATTCAACCGCACGTTCTCCACGCACGGGTTATGGAAGCGAGTGTCGAGGCTCTACAACGGTGGGACAAACGAGTTTTCGCTCTAGCCTGAGCTATTTAATCAGGACAAGTCTGGTCCAGTCGACAAATGATGCTCAGGAGCTATGTGTAGTTCATTGAATGCATAACCAGACTAAGTTGGCGCTCGCAGTACGTCTGTCCGCATAATTCCTATACAAACCTAGTACCTAATCGCGAAACCATCAAACCTCTCTCCACTGACAGCCTGTCTCTGATTAAGAAAGGTGGACAAGCCTGGATACAGCATGCCATGCGAGGTCTAACGAAGGCTTAGAATATTCCAACGAACATCTATCCAGCGAGCATTCCGAATGATCTGAGGAGCACGCACAGCATTATGCCACCATTGGCATGGCGAACAAAATGCCAGTTCAAGTGAGACTGGAACGATACGATTATTCCATGAGTGTTCCTTCTTCATCAGGTCGTTGAAAACGGAGTTGACGGACTTCGAAATACAGATGGACTTAATACTCGGATTGACTCAGATTATTTTACTGGGGTCGTGCATCTTTAAGCGTAACTAAGACGACCGCACTTAGAATACGGTATCCAGGCTTGTCCACCTTGTCTTGTAAGGGACAAAATGTAACTGGAGAAGGTGTTGCGAGTGGGTACAAGTTTGGTGCAGGGATTCCGGGGGCACACTTATTCCGAACGTCTGCTTAGCTTGGGTATGTACACAATGCACTACGGCAGAATTAGAGGAGACTTGATCCTCACATACCGTATCCTAACGGGTAAGATCGGTCCAGACTTATCCTGGCTATTTAGTCCCTCCAAGCTGTTTAGTCCCCGAGGTCACCCGTTGAAGCTGCACAAACTGCGTGCTGACCGGGTAAGGACGGAAACTCGCTTGTCGCAACGGGTTATTGAACGCTGGAACTCGCTTCCAAAGCACGCGGTTAGGGTGTTTACGGCTGTGGATTTTGAACGTAACTTAGATGCTCTTGGGTGACCGTACCAAACCTACCCCTTCTTCTAACCGACTTGTATCTTCAACTTTCCGTTCGTTTATTTTCAATTGCTTTGCACACCTTGATATTATTATTGGTTAGCTGACATTCCTCCTCTTGTTTTCTTAGCTTACCCCTCACTCTCTTACTTCACATAAACCGGCCTAGCAGGGGCTGTTGGGCAGGAAAATGTGGGCAGTAACTGGTTGGATCGAGTGCGATGTGCTCTTTGTTTTAGGCCTTTCAACATACCAAGCAGACCTATCAATTCCCGTTCCTACGATATGCAAAAGAAGGAACATTCACGAATCATCCCATGGTTCCGGTCCCAATTGAACTTCAACTTCAACTTGAACCACGACATCAGCAATACAAACAAAATACAATGTTGGAAGATCACCGAAGCTAACCACCTACATAGTAGAAAACTAGTAGTTCGCGAAGTTGCTAATTATCGCTTTTCCGTATACTAATTTGTGTGGTCTATATTTGCATCATAATTGTTTTAATCGGTGTCCATTCGCATTTCCCGTTCAGTTCAGCCATGGCGAGCAGGTGGAGTCGTAATGGTTAGTTCCGCTCCGTTGATGGTTTCGTTATTTGCGATTTTGTTATTACACTAATATTTACTACTCTTTCAGCTTCGTATGGTGGTGGTTACTTGAGCAGTGGAGGGGTAGGTGTAGGTTTTTACATGGGTGGTCCGCCGGCTGCTGAGCGGCGACCGTATGCCCCAGTTGCGAAGCAGTTTTATGGAGGTTACAGAGAAGACAATTATGGCCGGCGACCTGAACGCAGGGATGAGTTCCGTGGAGTCAAGCGAGGACCGCCGAAAGGTCGGAGTCCCGTTGAAAAGCGTTATCACGATGCCCCTCCCGCAGGTCAGAGGCGTGACCATCGTCCTTTTGGCAAAAGGCAAAGTCTAGGAAAATACGAAGTGAAAATGCCAAAGCTTTTGTTTAACATACAGACGCGTGGGGCGACAGAAATTCGGCAGAACTACCCACGCCTGAACGTCGCACCAGATTTTTATGAGTGCGACTCCACGTGGTGCGAATCATTCCCCATGCATAGCCCCTTCAAACTGGGCAATGCTACGGACTACCATGTAAGTTGCTCGCAATCCGGAGGTCCCATCTTTCCCTTAGGTTTTTCACCGAGACGTTGATTCTCCATCTCCGGCGGACTCATCGCTGCTAAACCCTCCAGATGCTGACTACTCCTACTCATCGCGTGTGATGCTGATGGCTTGTCCTCAGCTCGCTGAGTTGTACAGAAACACCTGCCGCATGGCGGATGACCCCATTGGGACCGATAAGGTTCCTCCCGGCAAAAACATTCACTTCCTTGTCGGTGGCCGGGCAAAAAGTGAAACCATGGCTATTGGTGGCCCCTGGTCTCCCAGCTTAGACGGCGCTGATCCGTCAGATCCTATGACCCTGATTAACACTGCCATCAGAACTTTCAAGGGCTACACGGGCCTCGATTTGTCCTCATGCACTGAATGGTACTTCTAAATTTTTCTGCTCATTCACTATTTCAGGATCCGGTTTATGGAAATCAAGTATTACCGTTTCGCTGATACTAAGGCTCCTGCCTTTACCGGTGACGAGGAGGAACGAGTAGTGACCACTGAGCGGCCAGAAGTGGTCGTGTTTTTCATTCCAAATGCCGCACATCTAATACCGACCGATGAGGAATGGGCAAAAATAAGGGAGTACTACTCCTCTATTTTGCAAGGCTTGCTGTCTCCGGAGAAGGTGGAAGCCGAGACCCTTCCTGAAGTTGCGGACACGGATGCATCCATGGCCGATGCCAGTGTCGATGAGGCTGAAGAAACCGGCACTCGATCAGACATGGAACCTACGCATTACTCCAAGTTAGATGTAAACGCCTTGAAGGTAAGCTCTTTTTTAAACTTACAAAACCGTATAGGTAAATGAATTGCGAAACGAACTTGCTGCTCGTAATCTTGACACGAAGGGCTTGAAGGTTAACCTTATTTTACGCTTGCAAGCCGCACTCGACGAAGAGAAGAAGCGGACACCACCGGCGACGCTAAATCCGGAACAGATGCTAAATGTGAGTTTTTCTACTTCTCTTAGCTTGATGTATGCCAGTAAAGGTCAGAGAGTAACCGCATTGAACAGCTTGAATGCATAGGCTACTGTTATCATTGTGAGTCTACATTTAGGAAGGGTGTTCTAGTGAAGACGACTGCTAACGAGACGACCATATCTCACTGATGGTCGGACATCTTTCACTGGCAGTACTTTTATGTAATGGACTGCAAGCTGATTCACCTTAACGTCCTTCTTTCTGCTTATATTCAGCCGAGGAGACATCAGCTAAGCCTTCAACCCCAACGACACAGTCGAAGGACGAATCAAAGGAGCTGACTGAAAAAGAGCGCCGCCGATTGGAACGCCTTTACCGTCTGAATGAAAAACCAGTTATCATTGTCCACCCAAACAAAAGCGCCAGAGGAGGTCGCTTTGATTGCCATCGCGTATCACTCTTCTCTCTCCTTGATTATCGCACCGATGAGCAAAAAGAGCACAACTTTGAAGTCTCCTTATTTGCTGAGCAGTTCAATGAAATGCTCCAGCGTGACTGCGCCTTCGCGATCTTCAAGGCCATCAACGATGCGCCTGAGAAGGAACATAAACCTGAGCAAGACGGAAAGTACGAGGATTATTGTTGCGCTTAGATTAGTGGATAATGTGACACCCTTCCGACGTGTCGTCCGCTGACGAGTCATGCTGGACAGGGATGCTTAGGCTTTCTTATATTTTCATGAGTCTTCTTTTCAGCCGCTGTCGAATAACCTGTAAAATGCATTGCTTTCAGGGTGGAGAATGGGTTGGAAGAAGAGGAGGACAAAGAGCCAGAAGCGAAACGCCACCGAAGTGATGCCGTAGTGAAGGTCGAAAAGAATGAGACTCCTAAGCCTCGTCGCCTACGTCGGACCACTTGTCCAGATCTGCTATTTGCATTTACCTATTACGACATCGGCCAAGCTGGCTACCTTCGGGAACATGACTTATCTGAACTCCTTCATCTCTTAGGTCTCCGTTATTCCCGCGCTCAGGTAAGTTGAGGTAGTCTAACTATATCTGTTAATCAGATGAGAAAACTGGTGGCGAAAGTGGTCACGCGCCGTGACCATATACAGTATCACCATCTGACTGACAGTGACATTATTGAAGGCGATGAGAAGGACGTTATAAATATCCGCACAAACAACGACGAAGATAATGAGGTTACAAAAATGCTCGCGTTAGGGAACAGGGCATTGTTTGACACCGAACAGTCTCCCATCCCAGCCAGGTAATTCTGCTTGTGTCCCCTGATATTTGTTAGAATAATAATTGGAGGAGGCGACACGACAG